CTTTTGAAAACAGGATCTCTCATTGGCCTGAAATCCCTGAAGTAAGCTAGGCTGCTGGTGAGCCCCCAGAGAACCACCTGTGTCTGCCTCGTCTGCCCAGGGATTACAAGCTTGTGCCACTGTGCCCAAATATTTTTCACGTGGGCTCTGGGATTCAAACACAGGCCCACCAGTTTGTGCAGCAAGCTAGCAGACTGAGTTGCCGTCTGAGCCCTTACCTCTACTATTGTTGAGTAAAACAGGAAGATAGATTCCCAAAAAGGTATGTATTTTGTAAGCAACTTAATGGAGGGGAATTTCCCGAAGAATCGTTTTGACTATCACATGCCTTTAAATATCATTAAAGAGAAAGGAGGTTGACTTTGGTTCAGATACCCAGGTTCTAAAAGCCCCTGAGGTTTCTCAACATTTAGCTAGTAGACCCCAAGACATTTAAAGTCAGGCTTCACAAGTAATGATGAATGTGCATTGTCACTGAGTTAAATAAACTCTAATCTCTGCATTTACTTTTGAAGTTTCAGCTGACCTACTAGATCTAACTGCTGCTGTTTTCACCAGGCTGGGAGGGTAGAACTCAGCACGTTCAAAAGCAGGACCTGTGTCAACTCTACTCTTCCCTAAGCTTTCTAGGAGAAGCTTTACCTTCAACTTAGAGGTCCTGGTTTTTGCTGTTGTTGGTGGTTGTTTGATTGGTTGGTTGTCTTTTGGTTTTTGTTGTTGTTGTTTATAGCTGAAATGGTGTTTAATCTAGTTTAAACCAAACAATACCACTTGTAACTCAGTACATCACAGTCTATTACAGAGAACTAGCTCTTATCAGCCCCACTAACTCTCCTCGTGGAGTTTGGCAAATAGGGTTTAATTGACTGTTGGGCACACTGACTGGATATGGGGCCAGATTTAATCTATATATTTCCAAAGCCACGTTCTGTTTTTATATGGGTAAAAGTAAAATGAGAAGTTAGAATTTTATTTCCCACATTTTCTGGAGACTCCATGACCCACTCCAAAGAACAGAATTCAGTGTGAGCTGTAGATTCACCCTGAGTATCCTTCCCTGCATCTCTAACCAACATTAGCCTTGGCTTTCAGATGGATCTGAGGGAGGGTCCTCACCTGTCTGAGTCACCCAATTTCCCCAGTCCCAGAGGCCAGTGAAAGGGACACCAAGAAAGCCAGTTTGGAGCTATGTGGTTCACACATGCAATCCCAGCACTGGGAGGGTGAAACAGGAAGATTGCCAGTTTAAGGCCAAAGAGCGAGTGCAGCTGGGTTTTTGTTTGTCTGTTTTTTCTCTCTTTGAGGGGCCTGTCACCCAGCTCCCAAATAAATCACACAGAGGCTTATTCTTTCTTACGAATGCCCAGCCTTAACTTGGCTTGTTTCTTGACCAACTTTTCTTTAACTATCCTCTCTATCTTTTTGCCCCTGGGTTTTTATATTTCTCTATTTTTGTACACATTTCTTTACGTCTTACTCCCCTAGATTGCTGTGTAGCTGTGTGCCTGGCCTCCTCTTTTTCTCCTTCTCTTGCTCCCTGATCTTTCTTCCCAAATTTCTCCTATTTATTCTCTTTGCCTGCCTGCCAGCCCCACCTCTCCTTTCTCCTGCCTCGTTATTTATCATTCACCTTTTATTAGACCAATCCAGTGTTTTAGGGCAGGCAAAGTAACACAACTTCACAAAGTTAAACAAGTGTAACATAAAAGAATGCAACACATCTTTGCATCATTAAACAAATGTTCCACAGCATAAACAAATGTAACAACACATATTCAACTAATATTCTGCAAGTGAGACTCTGCCCTGAAAGAGAGAAAGAGTGGGAGAGAGGGAGGGAGGAAGGAGGAAAAAAGAAAAAAAAACTCTTCCTGAACTGTTAAAGTGTGTCTTAAGACTTCTATGACATCTCCAGAAAGAAGCTAACTCTATTCCCTCCATGAGGCCACTGTAAGTCAGTTTATCACCTGCAGACGGCCGCGCTCAGGAGCCACCCTGTAAAACCCAGGAAAGAGATGGCTGTTGAAGGAAGAAACAAAGGATGTAAGACATTGGTCCCTGGGGACGTGTTTAAACTCCTAAGTGAAGACTTGCCTAAATCCAGTCATTGTCCTGGGATTTCTCAGCTACACAGGTCACTAAGCTCCAGTTAACTGCACAGTTATTTGTTTAAACTGGCTTCTACAGAGAAACCACATAAATATCACTCACGATGAAGCATATCCCTTACCTACATAACTGTTAACTCCCTCTTATAGTTTGTTTTGCTGCTATTTTTATTTCTTTTTGACTCTGTTTGTTGATTTATTTATACTATAAATCAAGAACAATTATGGCCTAAGTATTAAACAGAGAGTAATAGTGTAAAATAAAACACCAAATTGCAAAACTCTCTAACCTTGGGGAAATATTTGAATTTTTCTAATCTTCCGTTTTCTTGTTGGAAGGTAGAAGTCACTTTTAAAAAGCCTTCAAGTTTATTAAAACAGTTAACTAAAAATATGGCACGTCGGATTTTATCGTGTACCTGGCACGTAGTCCCGGGTACAATTTAGATGCAAGGCAGATCGATGAAGCAATAATGGCTACCATTTATAGAAACCTACTATCTATCTGCCAGGCACTTCTTATAACCAACCACTTTAAATTTCACAAACCCCTGAAGGGCATTATCACTGTCATTCATCGGATGCCGGGACCTAGGTTGGGAGAGAGCGAAGGTTAGTGCCTGGATAGATAGCCAGCTTGGCTTGACCTCAAACTTCAGTATTTTCTACTACCCCAAGCTGCTGTCGAGAAACCTGCAGCTGATGCAGTGAAACTCACTTTGGGTTCTGAAGACGAGAAAGCAGATTTCAGTAGAGGAAGGACTTTGCCAACTTTGAAGGGCACAGAACATTGCTAACTATTAGAGGACAGAAGCAAGGCTTGACACACCAGAGCTCTCTTAGCCAACCCTAGCACAACGGCAGGTAGGGTAGATGATGGGGCCGTCTACTCCCTACTCATCTTGTTCCAGCAAGTTGGGGGGCACGCACGATCTGACTGGTGTGCTTCAAAAAAAATGTGTCACTCTCCCCTTGCTCTATTTCCCTTTCTGCTGCTGGGATACATCACCCGGACCAAAAGCAACTTAGCAAAGAAATTATTTCACCATAGAGGTCATAGACCATCTCTGCAGGAACTCGTGGCAGAAGGAACCCCAAACAGGAACCTGAAGCAGAAACCCTGAAGGAATGCTGCTCGCTAGCTTGTTTGCAAGGCTCATACATCCCTAGCTTTCTTCTACAAGTCAGGACCACATGCCCAAAGAATGGTGCTGCCCAGTGTGCTAAGTCCTCCAGCATCAACGATGAATCAAGACACAAGCCCATCTTGTCCAGACAGTTCTCTCCTAGATAACAGCCAAGGTGAGCTAAGTCATCCCTCGTAAGGATAGAGACTAGCAAGTGGTTTTTTTGTTTGTTTGTTTTTGCTTTCCCACGCAGTTGATTTTACACAGGCAGGTTTTCCAACTCTCTATATCTATGAAGTTTGTTCAGTTCTGGGGTTCTGCACTAGCAGACCCATGGCCCTGTCAGCTCTCCAACCATGGCCATCATTCCAGTTTGACCAGTAACGGTGTTTACATTTTGGTTTCCAGCTATGTAAGGATCCATCCACTTGCAGCTATCTCCGTGTGGAATTTAGGCATAGTTTTGAAACCTTCTATCCCTTCAGCATTCAGCAGGCCTTGGTAGAAGACAAATTCTGACATGCTCAGAGGGCACCGTGACACCTGGTGTAGTGTGAGCAGAGAGTGTCCAGTGAAGAGGGTGAAGGTAAGCCAGATAAGGTAGGGACATGGAGGAATGGAGCACTTACCAGGAAGGCAGAGAGTCTGGGTTTGATGTGGGAGAAGAATGTGAATGAAGACGTGAAACCGTAGTGTCTGAACCCCAGAGTGAAAGAAAATAGCGATTTTTCTTTTCAGAGCAGACAAGAATGAGTATGCCTGGAGTCAATCCACTGCCAGAGGCAGCTTCTTGAATTTCTAAGCGGGAAGGATAGGCTGCACTAGGGAAGTAGACGTGTGCAGAGGACCGAGGGCTGCATAGGAGAGCTCTGCGGGAAACCGACTGGGTTATGGTGACAGCCCTGCTATGGGAAAGGCACAAGGGGTTGGGAGACAAGCTCTGAAAGGAGTGCTGAGTGGAACCCCTGAGCTGGTGGGGAGTGGGGCTGAAGTGTTGACATAGATGCATTCCTGGTCACCAAAGACAGGGAAGTCTTAACGTAGTGGGTCCGCACCCTTAAAGAGGTGGAACACCTTTGAAGACAGCCACGGGATGCACAAATATGGACATGACCAGAAATGTCGAGGGTGCCTTATAACAGGGGCATTGGTGAGGAGTGGATGGGGGGGAGGGGACCACGTTCCTGGCCTAGAGGGAATAATAGAAATACGTGGCACTCAGGCTCTTAGCAAAGCAGGGCAGTTATGCCCTCTCTCCAGTACACTCACAGATGAATGTAAAGTCGCCTTCTGCTCACCAGCCCTTCTTGGGCTCTAGTGCCCACTTTTTTCTACTTGCACCCTTGAATCCTCTGCTCTCTCTATCTCTTTCAGAGATGAGGGGTGGCTCTGGAATGCTCAGGTTCGAGTCCCAGGCCGGGAATGGACTCCCACTGTGCTGCCCACCTGGTCGGTTCTGCAGCCTGCAACTAGTTCCTGCTGTCACCCGGACTGCCGCAGGCCAGCGCCCCTCCCGGGGGTGGGGTTTCCGCGGTCCCCCCCCCCGCCTTTGTTGCAGGGTCCCCCAAGACACAGACACCCCGTGTCTTCTTTTAAGGTGCCTGAGGATTCTTGGTGTGGGTCCGGGAGAGGACAGGGATGCCAACGGTGCTTGGAAGCTCCTGGGCTCCGGGCGGGAGCCGGGAGGAGGGAGCGCAGCGGGAGCCGCCGGGGTTGCGCTGCAGAAGGGGAGGAGAATGGGGAGGAGCTGGGGGGCCGACGGGCGGGGAAGGAGGGGTCTTAAGGGGCGGCGAGGCCAGGTCGGACTTCCTTGGAGCCTGGCGATCGGCGACGAGCCCACCTTTTACTCCAGCTCTCTGCCCCGCTCCGCGCCTTCCGGAGCCCCGGACCCGAGCACGGTGAGTGCGGAGAGAAGGTTGGGTGGCTCCGGGAAGCTGGGGTGCTGGGAGAAGGAAACGAGTCTGCGGGACCCGAGGAAGTTTCCAGGGTCCGCGCGGGGCCCAGAACCTTCAGTCTCACCCTATTCTCTCTTCCGCAGATGTGGAAACGCTGGCTGGCGCTAGCACTGGTGGCCGTCGCCCTGGTCCACGGCGAGGTAGGTGACTGATCTCTGGGATTTGCGCGCCTGGCGGTCGGACGTGCGCCCCAGGGATGCTCTCTGGGGGTGCGACTGGGGATCCCCACTTTTTCGATAGAGTGGGATTCTGGAGTGCTCCCAGCAGAAATTCTACTTAACAAACTTAAATCTCAATTCTGAAGTAGTTTGGGCCATTAAGCTGGAGCCCCACCACGCCTAATATGGAGGGAGGCTGGGGAGTGGAGAGTGGGGACAGACTGGGTGGATAGAAGCAGAGGCGGCGGCCAGAGAGCAGCAGCAGAGTTCAAAAAGGCGCCTTGAGTTCTTCTGTTCACTTCAGAGGAAACTGCGAATAGTCACGCACTTTTCCTTTCCAAGTTTTTCCTGGTGGGGGAGGTTTTAAAAGGTTTTTAAAATAGCAGAATGAAATTTCCTTTCTCTTTTATAGAGTGAATTGTGATTCCCCAAAATGTCTTCTCTTTGTAAAATGTCTTGGATTTTTTGTTATTATCTGGGCTCCATTAGAGCCCTTTACAGTCCAAATTTTCCCTTAAACTCTGTTGAGCAAGTGTGAGAATCTGGGTTCTGCCCTTTGCGGGGCCTCTGGTTCCTAGTTAAAACATGCAGCAGCTCTCTCTCTCTCTCTCTCTCTCTCTCTCTCTCTCCCTCTCTCTCCTCTTCCTTCCTTCCTTTCTTCTCTCTCTCTCTCTCTCTCTCTCTCTCTCTTTCTTTCTTTCTTTCTTTCTTTCTTTCTTTCTTTCTTGTAATGTTTTCTTTTCAACTCCAGTGACCTTCCAGAGACACTACAAACAAAACCCTACACTCACAAGCCCCTCCATTAACTCAAAGGTTTATGGGCAGAAAATAAACAATTCTAAATTCCCTGGGCTCCAGTCTCCAGAAGAGTGAGGTCAGAAACTAAACATTTGATAATTATGGCAGGAAATGTGGAAGGAATTAAAAAGCATGAGAAAGAAGAAGTGGAATGTGCGTTACAAAAGAAATAGCTCCCTGGTGGGTGGTTTATAGCCCCTCTTTGAGTTTTTTCTTTCATATTACAGTTTAGCCCCACCCTTTACATCACAGCTTGATTCTGCCCCAGAATTCATAAATGCATGCAGTCTTCTTTCTTCAAAAAAAAAAAGACACATTCTGTACTGATGTTTTCTTTAATTCACTGCATTATTGATTGAGGTAGAAACAAGCTATTTTTACTTCCATTGTAATAAAAGCAGCAAGTATTTATTGGATAGCTACTACTTATAAGAAAATTCTACTTCAATCATAGAGAAACCGAGTCAGAGAAGTTTATGTAACTTATCAAATGCCTTCAGTTACAATAGTGGGGGCAAGATTGGAGCTAAGGCTTTCTAGCTCCAGACCCCAGACTCTTAATCACTGCCTGACCCTACTTGTAATCATGAAGGCATAGAATTCCGCCAGGTATTTTGACATCAGACATTGGGTGCTTGTATCACTTGTATCATTTCTTCTAAAGCCTTTCAAAGCCTGTGAGGTGGGCTTTGCTAGTTCCATCTGGCAGAGCAGGGACAAAGTTAAGGAACTAGTTAAACCGTCTATGTTCATATAACTGATTCGCTCCGAAAGTGGATCGGTATGTTCCTATACTACCCTGCAAACCTTCCTTGAGCCCCAGCCTGCTCCTCATTCATTTTTCTTCAGAGTTTGAGTGGAGGAAATAGCCCCGATATTTTTCAGTCCTGGTTATAGAATACTCCTCCATCCCTGTGATGGCCTGCAGGGTGCTCATCTCTAATCCTAGCACTTGGGAGGCAGAGGCAGGCTGATATCTGTGAGGCCAGCCTGGTCTACATAGTAAATTCCAGTACAGCCAGAGCTACATAGTGGGACCCTGTCTCTGATGATGATGATGATGATGATGATGATGATGATGATGATGATGACAACAATAGTGATGACATAGAGGATATAGAAAAGGCAGCTGTGCTCTGTGGTAGATGAAGTGAATCCCTGGTTAGTTTCACAGCCAGTTAAGAATTGCCAACCCCTTTGTGAAACTGCAGGAGCTCTTTGCAGAGGTAAGGACCGCAAGGCCTGGGACTCTTCCACACAAGGCTGTGTGCCCCAAGGTCTGGGGTCTGTCCTAGGTAACCTGCCCTTCACTCTGGCCTCCTCAACCCACTGCACTGCAGGGAATCGCTCAACCAAGGTAGCCAGGCCCTCAGCAATTTCCTGCTGGAGCTCTATGGAAGAACAGCCAGTATTCAGTTCCCAGGCAAAACCTTGGTGCAGCAGGGTGGGGGAGTTGGGGTGCTGAGGCATGCAAACAGAGGAGTTGATGCAGAAAAGAGGCAGTGAAGTCGGGACACACACACAATGAAGACGGATCACGGACGTGAGCCACAGCCATGCTCTATTTCATGACTTCACTTTATTAGGGATTATTATCTTTCAATCAACCCAGCCTTTATTGCCTGACCTTCCAGGTAACTCTTGGCAAGTTTTAATGCACGTGTTAAGTACGGCATCTCTAATCATGGCGGAAAAGTAAATTAACCCTCTATGGGAGACGTGACTTGGCATACATTTTAAACACTGTATTTGCAGTTAATGATGCTTGCAGTACAATTTTTTTTTCCTTGTTAACCGTAAGAACATTCAGCAAACACTCAAATAAGGTATTTCTAGTCTTTTGGCATGAGTCCATTTTAGTAAAATTTAGATCTGTGGCCATTGTGCAAATACTGTTGAACTCCCAAAAAATGAAACATAGGAAATAAAGTGAACTTTCTTGGTGTTTTTCACTGTCATAATCAAACCCAAGGATTTAATTCGCTTCTTAAAAACTGTGATGGTTTTACAACTTCTGTTGGCTTTTGAAAAACCCAAAGTCTTTGGAATCAACTTTCAGAAACAGAGCTGTTCCTTTTTAAGGAAGGGTGGCCAGTGTGTAAATTCTACTTGGTTACATTCGAAAAACTATTACCAAATCTCACTAAGAAGAAGTATTACATTGTTTTCAGTATTTTCCAGTGGTATGATACCTGGGACCTCAGAGTAACAATGTTGGGGTTGTTTACTCCCTCCTCCCTTCACCTTGTCTCTGCTACCAGGGTCTTTTTTCAGCCAGCCTCCACCAGAATTCTGCCCCATCCATGTGAACACACACACACACACACACACACACACACACACACACACACACACGTTCTTCAGAGCTCTGCATGTCTCTAGATCTACACATATTGGACAGGGCTAGACTGGGGAGGGACAGCAGCAGAGAGGGGACTTGCATTAACCATCACACCTGCCTGCTTTTACTTTCCAGGCTCCTCCCACTGGGAATGACCACAGTTCTTTGGGAAGCTTTGGTAATGCAATATAGGGGTGATTTAGAGAATTCCAGGCATCAGCTTGTGTGCCCCTGGAATCGTGAGAAGTATAATTTAGTTTCTTTCATATGGCAGGCTAGAGGGGACACATAGCCCAACTGCCTGTTTTAGGAGGACAATCTTTTTTTTAATTGATTTTATTGAGCTCTACAGCTTTCTCTGCTCCCCTTTCTGCTTCTCCCCTCCCCTCCAACCCCTTCCCATGGCCCCCATGCTCCCAATTTACTCAGGAAAGCTTGTGTATTTTATGTTTCCCATGTATTTTAGATTCATGTATGGTTCTCTTAGGGTCCTCATTGTTGTCTAGGTTCTCTGGGATTGTGATGTATAGGCTGGGTTTCTTTGTTTTATGTTTAAAAACCACTTATGAGTGAGTACATATGATAGTCTTTCTGTATCTGGATTACCTCACTCAATATGATGTTTTCTAGCTCCATCCATTTGCTTGCAAATTTCAAGATTTCATCATTTTTTTCTGCTGTGTAGTACTCCATTGTGTAAATGTACCACACTTTCCTTATCCATTCTTAAGTCAAGGGGCATTTAGGTTGTTTCCAGGTTCTGGCTATGACAAACAATGCTGCTATGAACATAGTTGAGCACATGTCCTTGTGGTACAATTGAGCATTCTTTGGTTATATACTCAAAAATGATATTGCTGGCTCTTGAGAAAGGTTGTTTCCTAATTTTCTGAGAAATCGCCACACTGATATCCAAAGGGGCTGTACCAGCTTGCACTACCACCAGCAATGCAGAAGTGTTCCTTTACCCCACAACCTCTCCAGCATAAGTTGTCATCAGTGTTTTTGATCTTGGCCATTCTTGTAGGTGTAAGATGGAATCTCAGAGTTGTTTTGATTTGCATTTTTCTGATGACTAAGGGTGTTGAGCATTTCCTTAAGTGTCTTTCATTTTAGATTCCTCTGTTGAGAGTTCTCTGTTTAGGTCTGTACTCCATTTTTTTTATTGGATTATTTATCCTTTTGATGACCAGTTTCTTGAGTTCTTTGTATATTTTGGAGATCAGACCTCTGTCTGTGGGATTAGTGAAGATCTTTTTCCATTCTGTAGGCTGTTGTTTTGTCTTGTTGACCATGTCCTTTGCTTTACAGAAGCTTTTCAGTTTCTGGAGGTCCCATTAATTGTTTCTCTCAGTGTCTGTGCTGCTGGGGTTCTATTTAGAAAGTGGTCTCCTGTGCCAATGTGTGCAAGTGTACTTCCCACTTTCTCTTCTATGAGGATCAGTGTGGTTGGCCTTATGTTGAGGTCTTTGATCTATTTGGACTTGAGTTTTATGCATGGTGATAGATATGGATCTATTTCATTCTTCTACATGCTGATATCCAGGTATGCCAGCACTATTTGTTAAATATGCTTTCTTTTTTCCATTTTATATTTTTTGCTTTTTTGTCAAAAATCAGGTGTTCATAGGTGTGTGGATTAAAATCCAGGTCTTCAGTTCGGTTCTATTGGTCCTCCTGTCTGTTTTTATGCCAATACCGACCTCTTTTCAGTACTGTTGCTCTATAGTAGAGTTTGAAATTAAGGATTGTGATGCCTCCAGAATTTTATTTTTTGCCTAAAATTTTTTTGGCTATCCTTTTTTTTTTTTTTTTTTTTTTGCTTTTCCATATGAAGTTGAAT